CGCGTGCGCAGGGAGCAAGGGAAAGCCCACATTGAGGGGGGCTTACGGGGGCGTGGCAGGATACTCCACCCCATCCCATCCCATCGTCATCATCATCATCATCGCTCACAGTCAGATGTTCGCTTTCGAACATTTTGCGGTTTGTTTTGCTCGCCGGCTACGCGCGTCTTTGCAAAAAGAAAGCAAAAAGAAAAGAAAATGCTGTTTGCAGAGACACAAAAAAAAACGGTGGCAGAGAGGGGGAAAACTGTAAGGGGGATGGCTTCTAACTATGACAAAGGTGCCAAGTTCTGAACCCCACCCACCCCGCACCACCCACCACCTCGTTGAAAGTGAAAAGTTTGCCAAAGTGCGAGGCGGGACATCATAAAAAAAATAAAAACCGGCAAAAAAATACAAAAAAAAACGTGTAGAAAAGAAAATGCGCGTCAAAACAAAGTCTAAAAGATTCATTAACTTGTTAGCTTCTGTTTCAGGTCATTTCGGTGCCTCTTTCCCGCCCCTTTTCACAGCTATTAGCTCTTTGCCTAGGCGGCCCCCCAAGCCAATATTAAGTATACGCACCGTTGGCAGGCTTTATAATATAATAATAATAGTTTTAGTATGCGGCACAGGGTCATGGTGTCAATAGTTTATATAACAAGTTATAAAGAATGGTTTTTGGGACTTAAGTTTGCTGTTAAAAAAAAATTAAGTACAAGTAAAATTATATTATATTATGGAAATAATATACATATATTTTTTGGAATTTATATTAATTTTTAGTTGAAAAATTCAATTGAAAAGGGAATACTTATTTTATTAACATTAATAATAAATACAGTCTTTCCATTATTTTTGGTCACAAAAGTTAGGTTAAACTCAAATTTAATTATAAATATAAATATAAATAATCATAAAAACAAATAAAATATTTAGTATATATACTTGTCCAATTTAAATGTAATTATCAAAGTAAAAAATAAAACGTACAAATGTTTTCCCCAACTCACGCAACAATTTTGTTTGCTTTTTCAGGTGAAAGAATAGAATAATCATAAAAGTCGCGGCAGCAGCACAAAACCCATTCACACTTTTAACACCGAAAAAACTTTAAAAATTACAAAACTCAGACCGAGGGGAGGAGGGGGGGACGACACACACATAGTCAGGACATAAAAACACACAACAAAAGGCGAAAAGCGAGTGGAAAACAAAAGACAAGTGCAAAACAATTCAGCAAAGGCGAAAAGGGGGAGGGAAAGGGACATTGCCCAGGACATGCAGGGCTGGCCAAAACGGATGCACCTAGCGCGACAGTTTGGACCAGGTCCTGGGAACGCCGCATCCAGTATCCAGTACTAACCAGGACTCCGTCTAAGGCCCAGACTCGCCGCAGCGGAAGTAACTCGCTGAGCGCTGTTGTGGCTGATTATGCTGCTGCTGCTGCTGCTGCTCCTGCTCCTGGCAGTGGCACGGGGCTCCAAGGGGGGTTGCCACATCCACATCCATAGCCTCTGCCCTCGTCCATCCATCCGTCTGGACCATGTGAGCGACGCTGGCGCTGGTCTCTCCCGCTGCGCCGGCAGCAGAACGGGCCAGTTTCAATTTATATCCGCCATATCCTTGCCCCCCGCAAGGATTCAAATGCAGCAGCAGTAGTTCCCCCTCCTGCACGGCAAAAAAAAATTCTACAAAAAATAACTCTTGAAATTTTGTTGAATAAATTAAATTAAAATAATAAATTTTCTATATTCCCCGACTTCCCATCGGATATATATTTCCAAGATTGGCCAAAATTAAGTATCAAATTAAATATAAAATTATTTAAAGCAAAAACTTAAATTATAAAAAAATTAATTTCAATAGATTTTTATTTGTTTAGACCTCGTTATTACTTTTAGTAATATTTATGGAATATTAATGTTTTGTTTTATTAATTAAATGCTTCCAAAAAATTACAAGTATCTTTCATTTAAATAAATATCCAAAAGATACAATATATTTTATATAATATATTTATAATATTATAAAATATTTCCTAAATTTTGCGATTCCTCATTCTTTAAGAGCAGTTTAATTATACAAAAATACAACAAATAAAGTTGGCATTCTGCCCGGAATCCCCCTTCCCCTAACCCCCTTGACTCCCCATGTTTTGGCCGCTTTTAGGGTTTTAACATCACAAAAAAATAAAAACTGTAGCCGCAGCTGGACAAAAGTTTGAGGTCCACATGACGACACGTTGACACTGCGGGCAAGGATGTGGGAGTGTGCCAAGTGTGGGTGCAAAAAAAAAAAAAAAAAAGAAAGAAAAATAATAAATAAATAAAAATAAAAAATAAGGACGCGGCAGGAGGAGACAGAAGGAGTCACTCTGTTATTTGTTATAACAATTGCAAATGCTGAAAACGCGAGGAGGACGTTGCCATGGCGATTAGGAGCAGGATAACACGAAAAAAGGCAGCGGTCGCCTGGTCGGTCGGTCGCTCATTTAATGGACACTGTTTGGTCGATAATCAAATTAAAAGAACGCCCAAGGTACGAGAAAAGCTTCCAGTTAAAAAAAAGAGTCGAAAAAAGGTGGAAAAATCAACAGCCAAGAGGCGCCAGGACGACCATGAGATGAGGCCACCCAGGTCAGCCGCCCGCCAGGTGGTTATGCTGGTGGTGGGTCATCTCCCCATGCCTCGTGCCCTCCTGGCAGGCAGGTGCCTGTCCTGCTTGATTAACGCTGACCATATCGGTGGGCACATACATATATGTATATATCGAACCCTATTTCCCCCTCAGGATGTTTGTGCAACGAAGCTCAACAAGGGCCGGCAGGATATTAACCGAAGGGCAGCTGAGTTTACATTTTTGTTTTGTGCTTTCATTGGAAATTATTGATAGCTTAAAGATCAGTGATTAAGTGGCTAGTTGTTTTGTATTTATTATAATTCTTATGCTTCAATAAGGTTTTGTTATTTATTTAAAAGTAAAATATATGACCTTAGCTTGGGGACTTTATTTGGGGTATTTGTTTATAATTTTATATGCATTTTTTATATTAATTATTATACATTTTTATAGTTTTTATTTATTATATTTATATTTATAAAATCTAGTCTTTTCCTTACTTTTTAAGCCTTTATTTTTCCCCAGTTTTTCCCCCAGCTTTTGTTACCATTTTAGACCCCACTCCCAATAGAACTTGTCAAACATGGAACATTGCGACTTGTTCTCGGAAATTACTCATCAGCCTCTCTCCCTCCCCCCCTTAACCACCCCCTCCTCATGCTGATAAGAAGACGAGGAGCAGCAACACCCCCCTTTGGGCGGCGAAATGACGAAATGCTGTGTGTGTAAAGAGACTCTCCTGTTCTTGTTTCTTTTTTGGAGATCAAAAAGATTCCCACCTTCGAGTGGAATCGAAAATGAAATTGTAGCAATTAATTATGATGGACGACGAGGTGGGCTTCAAGAAGGGGGAGGGAACACCGAACACCAAACACCGCCACCTAGCTAGCTAACAACAGCAATTTTGGGGACAGAGCAGGGAGATATCGATAAGGATGGTTACCATGTTTATATATATGACATATGGCAGGGCAGGTCCGGACTCCGGAGCATCGCATCGCGTCCAAGCCTCCTCCTCCACCTTCGATCGTCAGCAATTAGGCCTTCTCCCCTTATCACCTGGAAATTACCTGGAAAAGGCCCTCGCTGCTCGCCCTCTTGTTGATTTTGATTTGTAAGACAAATAGACCGAAAAAAAAAAAGAATATGAAAAGAACACCAACAGCAAACAACTTTGCGAGCAATTAAAATTGTTTGACGACACAAGGGTTCCTCACACTTCACCCCCCCACCCTACCTCCCCCTTTTAGTGGGGGGAGTGGAGCAAGTGTACCCGGTACTGGCCAACTCAAGTGCGTCACTGTCCAGCGGCCGTCGCTATCTAGATAAGATTGATAACGCCGCTTGCTTGCTTGGGCAACAAATGGAAAATCTGTGCAAAAAATCCCAACCAGAGTGGCGGCCCCAAAACGAACGAAAAAAAAATACGACTTACTTTATTACTGCCGCGAACAATCCATATTATGACAATGATATGGATATATGCCGATTGTATGGCGCTTTATGGCTTTACGGCCCTGATTTCTCTTTGAACTAAGCCGTGTTTTTTCCACAATCACATAGCAAATGCAGCTTGGACGCTGGTCGCCAAAAAAAAAAAAGAAAACCATATAGAGTTGATAGGGAAATTACAAAGAACCCTAATCGGCAAATTCTACAACTCGAAATTTTGGGGGAAAAGGCGTTAAAACAACAAATCTAAAAAAAAAAATCATTGCAAACACACCTAGGCGGGGGCGACTGGCTCTGATTTAGACATTGGCCATATCGCAGCGATAACTCGACTAGATACAAGAACAACAACAAAAATATAACAAAATAAGGAGACCTTCCATATGGTACGGGGAGGGGTGTGGGTGTGGGTGCGACATGGTCGACTGATATGGCCTGACCATAGGCTATAGCCGAACCTAGAACACACATTCCAGAACGAGATATTGAGATCATCTTTTCAGGGGTCACCTTGCAGTATTTCTCGGTTTTGGTCACTCTGGTAATCATATATTATCTAATATATATTAAGCTCAAATTGCCATTGATATTTACATAAATGTATGATTTTTTTAAAATTTATTTTATATATAAGAAACTATTATTTAGGTGTCCTAATCTATAAAAGTAAATTAAAGCCTTTGAAATTATTATATAAGCATGTTAACCTTTAACCTACCAAGGTAAACAAACGAAAAAGCCAAAATCCCTGGTAATAATAAAATTAATATTAAATGGTAAAATACAAATAATGTAAAATAAAATTCCTGTTAAATTACGAGAAAATGTCTTTACTAATTCCTAAAATATTGTTTCAGAAAACCCAAAGAATCCTCCAACCCTGCAGACGTCAGCTGTTTATGTCCCAATTGGAAACTTAAACTTTAACCCTTGCTTATCAGACTCACCTTGTGCAATTCGAACCGCGGGCATTTTAATTCTCATTTTTCTTTCCAGTTTCCGGAAGGTGTTTTAATCTTCGCCACAGACACAGGCACACTTAACCCCACAAAGGGCAATGTCCTGCCGATCTCTAAAAAAAAAACACACACACTTTAACCGCGACTTTAAACGATTTCCACTTGAGGTTTTCCAATTCCAATAAAGAAAGTTTCAAAATATATATTCTAGGTTTTTGTTTTGTTTTTCTTTTACTACAACTCTCCGCTTCGTATTTTTTGTTTACTTATTATTGCACTTGTTTCGGTGTTTGTTTTTTTTTTTTATTAAAAAAAATAGTTTTTAATGGTATTATTTAGTTTCTAATCAGACAGCTTCAGTTTTGGTTTTACTTGTTGTTGTTTTTGTCATTTTGATGGCTTTTCTTGGGCTGTCATAAGGAGGAAAACCGGAACAAAACAAACAAAATACAAGGATGATATTTGTAAATTTTGATGGAACTAAACTTGAGCACTTTATCACTTTTATTTTCTATTTTCCTTTATTTTTATAATTTTTTTTTTTGCGATTGTTGTATATTTCCTATAGGAACCTTTTGCACTCGGACTTTGGGTTTTCCTTTGCTTCCTTCGGGTTTGATACTTTTCGTCAAGCCTTGTTTTTTAGCTGTGTCTGTTTTGCTGTTGCCTTTGTTGTTGTCGTCGCTGTCGTTGTCACCTTCGCACGCGGTTTCATTTTCCCAAAAGAGATTCCAATTGGAGTTGGCTCAACAACGAATCGAAAAAAAACCCAATTGGTTGGTAAAGCACACTCCGAGACACTTGAAAAAAAAATGGAGGATTGCACAGAAGAATGCCTGCTTTTCGTTTCTTTTTTCTTATTTCTTTCTATTATTTTCCCATTGCGTACGTATTATTTTCGTTTTGTATTTTGATATATTTTTGTTTTTCTTCTCGATTAACTGTTATTATTTGCCGCGACGACGGCCAACGGTAAACGTGTGTATGTGTGTGCGCGCTTTTGCGGCTCCGGCTTGTGTGCGGTGCTAACGGTAACGGCGGAAGTACGCGACTACTTGCGACGTTTTAGCGGCGAGCGCGTCTTCGCTGCCGTCTGGTCCTCTGCCTCTGCCTCAGCCGCTGTCGCTGAAAGCTGCGCAGCTTTGCCTGTCGCCGCTGTCCAGGGCCCACCAAAAGCAGCAACAAAAACACCGCGGCGACCACGCTCCAACCAACTAAGCGAACGAGTGAGCGAACGCCAGCGAACGCGTTGGAAGTGTGACGAAAGCTCGCTTTGGACACGAGCACGAGGCTTGAGAGAGCGGGAGAGAGTGAGGGAGAGAGAGCGTCGAGCGCTGGCCAAAAAGAGAAGGCGGCGCTGTGTGTGAGTGGAAGAGCGAGCTTAGGCGAATGTGTCCGAACGCGACGATGTCCTGCGAGCGACTGCCTGCAGATAATTCAATTTCATTTCAGGCTTTTGCACTTTAATGCCAATCTGGCAATTTGATTTTGGCTAAGCGACGCCGAGGCCGACGCCGACGCAGCCCTTTCCTAACGGTGCGGTGCCGTGCCGGTGCTTGTGATGATGGTGTCGGCGGAGGTGGTGGTGCGGTGGTGGTGGTGGGTTGGCTTCGCGCTCTCTGCCCGCGTCGCTGCCGGCGTTTGTTTATTTGCCGCTGGTCATATGTGTGTTGGTGCGTGTGTTGGTGCGTGTGTGGGGGTGGGCACACCGGCCACACTGGCCAAAGCGGGACAGCGCTAGAGCGAAGCTCGACGCACACACAAACACACGCATGAAAATCGCAAAGGGGTGGCAACTTTTCAGGCTGGTCACTCTGGTCAATCGCTGGCACACACACACACTCGTGGCAGTTAAGGGCGCGATTACAACCCTCTCGCAATTACAACTGTCCAGGCAGCAAGGACACCGAACAAGGACCACAACATCCTTACGGATAAGGATATCAAAGCGCGCGCGCACCTTTCGGGCTGTAAATAAATAACAAACATAAAAAACAAGAAAAACTTGTTATTTACTTGGAATAAAAAGGAGTAATGTTTCTTTAAATAATAAAACATAATTAAATAAGTAAGCTATTAAGGGAATATATTTTACAAGCTAAATATAAATAGAGAAGTGATGTATTTATTTTCTTATATTTAAGTACAGTTTATTTTAAAAATTTAAAGTGACTGACTTTATGTTTCCTATTTTTGTGTTTGCCTTATTATAATATTTTAATTTATATTCGATAAGTAAATAAATCTAAATCTTATCCAAATAAAATTTTTAAAAATTTAATAAAATAAGTGTTAAAGTAGTGTAAATTCTTATTAAAAATGTAATGCTATAAATATTAATCAAATAGCCATAATAAATAATAAACCATATTATCAACCATTTGGGGGACACGTCCTCGTCGGGTGTCCAAGAGCGTCTGGTGGAGCTTCGTGCTTGGAGGATGCAACCGAAGTGGCGCACAACCTGCACAGCTTCCAACACGTTGCAAGCTCGCCAGAGATCGACGACAAAGCGCCTCCAAAGGTCATGTCAATTGGTTCGGGGCGGGGGGCTGTACGATAATTATAGCAGCGTTGGGGGGTTAAGGTGCATCCCTCAATGAATGATCACCGCACCTCCGCTGGTGCTCCCCAGTTGCAACCGCGACATCGAACATGTTGCCTGCTGGCCTGCCTGGCCTCCCACCAAAAAAAAGCAACAAAAAAAGCTGGACAGCGCTGCCGCGGCCAGCGTCGCGTCGCTGCTGCCATTAATGTCAGGCTCTTTGATATGAGAATCAGCGCACTCTCACACATATGAGAGCTTCAAATGCTGCGAGTGTGTGTCGAATTGTTTTTGTTGTTAATTGTTTTGTGGGCGAAGGAGGAGGGGTCCTGGGGGGCGTGGGGAGTTGGGTGACATGAGGTGTGTGTGTGTGTTCGAGTCCGAGTTTTATAATCACACTCATTGCACTTGTTCAAAAATTTAATTATGTTCAAAATTACTGTTTTTAAAAAAGTTACGAGTGTAAAAATATTAAAAGAATTTCTTTTAAATAAATTTAATAAAATGAGGTCCAAAATTTTAGGTTAAAATAATATAGAAATATATTAGAAATGCGTAATTTTCAGAAATAAAACAGTAATTCCAATTGAAGATTCCATCTGAGTAGATCCCAAATCGTAGCTTATACATCCCACATATCATAACTTGTATAGAATAATAATAATAAATTATCCTTGATATTATTCTAATATTGTTTAAAATGAAAAACTATTTTGACTTAATAAATCTCATATTAAATCTTTAAAAAACATACATACAAACACACATATGTGGAGATACTTATATACATATTAATAGCGCTATATGCAAGCCCAGTCGCACTCCCACTCCCCCACACACATACGCACTTTCACATACTCCTGCACGCACACACACACACTTGTCCAGAGACGCACACATGTGTGGCGTCGCACACGCGCGTTCGTCATCGATTGGCCGCCGTCTCTGCTCTCGCACATTTGTGTTTGACAATCGCCCGCTGCCACCCCCCGCGGTCCATCTACCCCTTACCCATAAGCTCATAACCCATCCGCACACACACTCCTCCTCCACCTGCGGCTCTCTTTCAACGTACAGGTAGCACACACACACACACACACACATAGAGACAGGCTGAGAGAGTAAGCTCTGCCGGCGTTGCTGGAGAGAGAGCGAGCTTAGGAGAACGCCACCCCACAAAGGTGGAGAGCGCGGGTGCCGCTGGAGTAAGGGGGGGACAACACAATGTGTGCCACGACGAAGTGCCAAGGTGAGGGCTACTGGCCAACAGGGGCGGGGGGCAGGTGGGGATGTGGCTGTGGAGTAGGGGTCGCCGGGCATCGCTATAACTGTTATCAGTCGAACGGAGACCGCTCACACGAGCAAGCCGGCTAGCGGAGCGCAGCTGGAATAGAATTGGAATGGAAATGGAATTGGAAATGAATTGGAATTGGCCAGGAATGAGGCCAAAGTAGATGATAAACTGCGAATTATTTACTCCTTTTACAGGGTATTATTATTCTGGCTTAGAGGTTCTGCTGATATTTGGTTAATATTTTTGTGAAAATAATATTGATTTTGATTTCTTTTTATTTGTGGAATAATTGTAGTACTTTTTCTAAAATTCTATATATCAAACTTTACGATTATATTATTTCTAATATATTATAATATTGTTATATATTATTATTATTTTTTAAATATATTATCGAATATGGTCATTGTGGTCTGATGGTCTGATTTTTAACATAAAACTGACCACGCGAAAAAAGCCACTTCAGATGCACAAGGGTAAATTCCTTTACTGGGGATATAACATTCCGATTCCGAAACCGACACGGCAAGATCAAAGATCGAAAAAAAATAATAATAAAGGGTAAAGCCAGACGGGGGTGGGTAAAAAATCTAAGCAGAGCCGAGCAATTACTTGCGAATCCGAAAGGCGAGTGTGAATTTGAGAGGAACCTTCGCAATTGCAACGTGTGTACGCAATCACACATTTCATTACACATGCGTGCACTGCGAGAATCCTGCGAAATACTTTAACAATAAAGAATTTAAAGCTTGAGAGTTTCAGGTGATCAAATAAAATATATATCTTAAATTTTTTGTATACAATTTTGCTGTTACAAATGAAATTTAATATGACAAAAATTAAGGAAATATATACATTCTTTTGTTTAAAATTTATAAGAAATATTTGTTTTAAAGAAAATATCCTAGAATTTTTTAAATTTGAAAAAATTACATATTAAATATAGGTTGCCATCAAATAACAAACAAATTAAAAATATTCTGAAACGATTAAATGAAACCTTAGGGGTTTTCCGTTTCTCCCAGTGTATATATTCATACCTTTTTTAATATATGCAGATGAAGGCCCGGCTCTGTCAGCGATCGATGGACGCCTGGCTCCTCTACTACCGATCATTGTCGGCGAGATGTGAGAGTTTCGCTTGCATTTTTGTTATTTTTTTTCGCGTTGAAAAAATAAATAAATAAAAAAAAAACCGAAACAAAACCAAAAGCTGAAAACTGAAAACTGCAAATAAAAAGCGAAAACATAAAGCTACAGAAACCGAGCACAAAAACCGACATTTAACAATAACGAAAATTGCAGAATTGCCGGCAATTACCAAAGGGGGTGGCCGCCGCCTGCCTGCCTGCCTGCCGGTGACATATGCGAGGTAGAAACCAGAAGAAGAAAAAAAAAAGAGAGGAAGCGATGCTTGAGATTTAGAGTGCACTCCGAAAATGCAGTTGCAACTGCAGCAGCAGTAGCTGCAGCGACCCTGCAGCAGCACTTCTGCTGCATCATTATGTCGGCCAGAGAAGGTCCTGCGGCAGCAGCATCCCGCTCAAGTCCAAAAGTGTCGACAAATTGGCCCAGCAGCCGCCCGTCCGAATCTCAATCTGTGATCCATCATCGAGGAAGCGGCTGCAGTTGGCCAACGGCCAGTTCTTGGCCAGCTTCGCTCCATTAGCCGTTGCGTGCCGTGATTGCCGCTCGGGCCAGTCACACTGCTAAAAGTATATTACACTTTTTCTTTTTTTAAACTCAAATTTTAATTTTAAAGCTTAAGTTAAATAAATCCCAAAAAAATTGTTTAAAAAAATATTTTGTTTTATATATTTATTTTTATATAGGTGCATTAATTTGCAGTGCATCAGCGATCGTTGGCTGGCTTGGTAATAAATCGTTTTGGCCAACGGCTGACCATTATCACGGCTACCGGTTCTGAGTGCAATTTCCCCTATATATACATATATATATACCAAGTGGGGGTAAACTCTCCCCCAACTCTGGTTGGTATAACGATTTTTCCTTTCCTTCTTTTTTCCCCTCTTCCTTGGCCCGAACCATTAATTGTCGCGTGAACAGCTTTGTTAGATCGATTTGGGGGTCAGGAACATATATATAAAAAAAATATATATATATAGAAATGCATATATTTATGCCGCGGTGTCAACCACTGGAACCACCCACAGAACCCAAAAAAAAAAAGGAAAAAAATAATGTGGTGGTGGCACCAATTCCGATACCGATTCCAAAGCGGCTTCTTAATGCCAGCGGCCATCCCGCTGATCGATTAAACGACCCTGATGAAAGATGGGGTGGGGTGGGGTGCGTTGCCCTGGCCAGGTGAGAGGTGGTAAGGTCCGCTTGCTATGTTGACAAATCACTGATTGACGCAATTTCCAAAATAAAATTATATATGTAAAAAAAAATGCAAACCTAAAGAAGTTGTCATCGATAAGTGGGTAAAACTTCATAAAATGTATATAAATATAATATGTTAGTTAATAAATGCTTTATTAATATTATAATTAAAAAAAAAATAGAATATTATAGCAGACATAATTTTAAAAGAATATTAAT